TCTCTCTCTCTCTCTCTCTCTCTCTCTCTCTCTCTCTCTCTCTCTCTCTCTCTCTCTCTCTCTCTCTCTCTCTCTCTCCCCCCGTGTGTGTGTGTTCGACATCCTTCTGCTCAGCAATCCAGCACCAATCACAATCGCCCACCCGGGATAAGAGAGTCGACTTGAACTCTCACCACGCATGAATGCCTCTCAAGGTCTTCCGCTTTCGCACTGCTACGGAGTCTATCTGGCCCAGAGGCTAGCACATGGGTGACAGGTGGTTCAAGGGAAAGCGTCGGCATTATTCGACCCCCCATACTCTCGATTCTTCCTTTCCAAACCTGCACAACAGTCCGAATCATACATTATTATTGATTCATGAATAACTGAGGTAATTTATGCATCCGATTCCGATCAATGGCTGATGTAATAACTGAGGTAATTTATGCATCCGATTCCGATCAATGGCTGATGTTCTTTCTCTGCAGTTGGGATCGTCTATCTCGAGTGTCTGTAGCAATATTTGTCGTGTCTGTAGTGTCTGTAATCTTTCTCGTGTCTGTAGTGTCTGTAGTGTCTGTCGTGTCTGGACCGTCTAGACTGCCTGTAGCGTCTGCTGTGCCTGGGATGTCAGGAGTGTCTGTCTGGATGGAAGGACCTAACACTGCTAACAGGTTAACGACAAAACATCAATCCAAATTGTCACTCAATCTTCTCTCTTCATGCCTTTTACATCTAATCACACCGTTTTTGATGTTTTGGAATTGCTTCTGTGGTCAGCTAACTGGACAACACAAAAAGTTTATATCACGACCACATACAGGGAATAGCAGTCAGAACATGCTCCCTCTGATCTAAATCACGACCACATACAGGGAAGATGATTCCCATGTGAGTACATACTACATACCCATTCTTTTGTGTGGTCGTTGACCCGGACTTACTGTCACAAAGGCAAAGTCATTCCAAACCCACACCCTTCCATAAAGTGTCCTCCCCCGATTACAACGCACCCTCATCATGACTGTGCATCGGTCGTAAACAGGGCTTGTGTACATTCATTCATGATAAGTGTGCGTTCTGTATGGGGGAGGACTGTAGTCGCATTACATTCCCCATTTAAAGATAGACGACTGCTCTTCAATGGCCTCGTGTCACCACAGCAATACAATTAAGGGCATACTCACACTTGGGACTTCTTCTACAAAGCTCTGGACGCGATTCTCGTTAGATTCATGCACGTTGGGTCATGATTGCAGTCAGATGCATTTTGGAAAGTGCTAGTGTGAGTATGCCCTACGTTATTGACAGAGACGACAACAATATATATATATATATATATATATATATACAGGGTTGCATACCTGCCGACCGCCACCCCGACCGCCGACCGTTTTGCAGCCAACCAGTACGGCCGACCGGTCGGCGGTCTGCCGACCAGTCAGAAAACAGCCATCCACTGTTTTTATTTTCAGATCTGAGTTGGGGGCTGTACTGCGCTTGCTGAGTACAGCCCAAATCCGCTGAGAAACTTTTGGGGATTGGGGGCGGTATGGGGGCGGGGGCCAACATGCAATACCTTCATTGTGAGGTAGCTATGTTTGCAGGGGTCCCCTCTATATAGCCTTAGGAGTAGTGGTAGGTAGGTAGTAAAGGCAAAAAAGCATTTGAGAGGAGAATTAAAAGGGCCTTTACCCGATATAGGCCTCAGGCCTTGTTAAAATAAAGCAGCACGGGCCTTGAAAAAGTAAGGCATTGTGAAAAGGTATCTCGTCAGAGCTCAGAAACGTGAAAACAGGTCAAAGGTCAAGTTCTCTATCAACAGGCATATTTAAAACTAAGGCAAAGGGCATTGTCAAAAGACTTACCTGTTCACCAGGAGATGTGTATGTCATGTCTGTTTGGGTAAGGGTGTGTCTGTACGTGCAAACAGGCATATTTAAAACTAAGGCAAAGGGCATTGTCAAAAGACTTACCTGTTCACCAGGAGATGTGTATGTCATGTCTGTTTGGGTAAAGGTGTGTCTGTACGTGCAGGCAGTGTGTCTGTTCGTGCCAAGTAAAGTGTCTGCTCAAGCAGTAAATGTGTCTGTTCGTTGAGAGTTGTGCCTGTCCGAAAGTAAAGTCAATAGGCACAGTCCCAGTTCTGGTCTAAGTCCAGGGGTCAGTCCAGATCCAGACTTTCAAGTCCAAATTCAAGCCGGGAGGCCTCAGCAGCAGTTGAACTTCGTTTGGGACTCTACTGGGACACATGCAATGCAGGGTCTGGGACAAAAGGAAGGNTTTGGGACTCTACTGGGACACATGCAATGCAGGGTCTGGGACAAAAGGAAGGCTGGATTGAGCCAATACAGACCCAGCGAGGAGTATAAAGGAGGCAGCCAGCCTCATTCTTACCCAGATCTCCACTGGCTGCCAATGCGTGGAAGTGCTGGTGCACTTGTGCGCTGAGTCAGGAGGAGCAGCGCTGGAGGAGAAGATGCGCTGGAGGAAGGAAGATGTCTGTATGCTGGAAGTGATGCAGCCATAGCTGCCCAGCGAGTTGGCATTAGAAGTAGAGGGTTAGTATGTAGCTATGAGTAGTATCCAGAGTAGATCCTCATGAGTATTGAAGAGTGTATATGCATCATAAGAGGAAGGGATTGAGGCTGAGAGTGTTCATTCAAGGTTGGCTATGGAAGATACTTACTTGAGTTGGATGTGATCTGCAGAGGTGGCATTGATGAGTGGTGACCACATTGATGACTTGGAGACTATCTGCAGGGGTAGCACTGATTCACTGGAAGGCATATTGATGAGTTGGCAAGATATTGGTGCTGCGCTGATGAGCGCTGGACTCAGGGAAACTTTGAAACACTTTGTATTCATATTTTTGATAATATAAGCTGTGAAACTCGGTTCTCATCTTCTCTACCTTTGTCTATTATCAGACTACTGTTCGTTGTGTGTGGGAGTACGATGCTTGGCATGTACACACTTGTGTGAGATGGTCTCCAGGACCCATGCAAATAAAGAGTAGTTTTTTAGGCTAACAGAAAACGCTAGCGCCATCCGTTAGCGCTCATGCTAACGCAGCACTCACGAACGGTAATTCCCGCCTCGCCCCCCGACCCAACCGCGCACGGCGTTTCACCGTAGCGCGCGCGGTAATTCTCCCGGCGCCCAATTTTCGAAAATAGGCGGGGAAAAGAACGCATGGGCACCACGCCTTCGGGCGGGGCAAAAAGGAAACCATCGCTCCACTCGATCATCACCAAGGACAAGGCTAACAAGGACAAAGACACGACTGGACTTACTAAAGCAATAATCAGGGACGCGGAGGAAGAAGACACGCAAGAGGAGAATAAACAATGCGAACAGCGAAGGGAGCGCGAGTTCACCAAAGAAAGTCCAAGAGACGGGAGGTGAAGAGGGAGGGGATAAAGACAAAGACAATGAGCGAAACGTGGGAAGAATGATTGGAAAAAGGAGTGAGGAGGGAGGGAATGAGTAAGAGAGAAGTGAAGAAGGGGAGGAACAATAAGACCTGCGAACGGGAACGTTGAAGACAAACAAGGAAGCAAGGCGTAGAGTTCGCTCAAGGCACGTAACCTTCCGGGAGAGATTCAACGAAGAGAGGGATTCACATCACCAGAATTAGCAAGGTCTTGCGGACCCCGTATATCAACAAGAATCATCACTCCAGGTGACATCCACTCTGTCCGTTTGCCCTCCTATTTAACGTAAACTCAGAAACATCCACGACCCCCTTTTTTTCTCCTCACTAAGAAAGCAAGCCCAACCACATCAGACAATTCATTTGTGAGCCCGTCCACACAGCCACGACCGTAGCGAGATAAGAGACAACAGCAACCGACAAAGTGGGTAGAAGAACTACTCACACGAACTAGTCAGGCGAGGAATCCGACAGCGATAGAGAGCGAGAAGAGGCGAGAACGATTTCAGGGAATGCACCGATCCTAAACGAGGGATCAGGGAGCGTCAAAGGACGATAGGTCACCTCATAAGGCTAAGGATGGAAAAGAGAAAATTTCGACTTCTTACCCCAAATCCCAACCCCAACCCCCCGCCCCACACCGCCCCTTTTCCGACCAGTCTCCTCCATATCTACCGCTCCCCGACTCCTTTCCCACACCCCATCTCTTCGCCCATTTCCCAACCGTCCGCCAGCTTCCCCTTCGCCTCATCCCGCCCAACACCCTACCCAACTCCTCCCTACCCCGCCACATCTCGTCTCTCACCCAGACCCCCGATCTATACCCCCTCCCCCCACCTCCTGCGATCCCATACACTCATTATCCATCACTCTTATACACATCTAGATGTGTATAAGAGACAGCATACACCCATTACCCATCATCCCCCCAACACCAACTCGACTACCAATCACTGAACGTTCCACCCCACCACTCCCCCGTCACAAACAACTCCGTCATCCCCACACTCTCCCGACCATCCCCCTACCTATCGATTTCGGGGAATGCACCGATCCTAAACGAGGGATCAGGGAGTGTAAAGGACGATAGGCCACCTCAAAAGGCTAAGGATCGATAAGAGAAAATTTTGACTCCTTACCCCAAATCCCAACCCCGACCCACCGCCCCTCACCGCCCCCTCGCCCCTCACCGCCCCCTTTCCTACCAGTCTCCTCTACATCTACCACTCCCCTACTCCCTCCCCACACCCTAGCTCCTCGCCCATCCCCCCACCGTCCACCAGCTTTCCCTTCGCCTCATCCCGCAAAACACCCAACCCAACTCCTCCCTACCCCTGCACATCCACCGCTCCCCGACTTCCTCTCCACACCCCATCTCCTCGCCCACTTCCCTACCGACCGCCAGCTTCCCTCCGTCTCATCCCGCTCAACACCCTACCCAACTCCTGCCTACCCCTTCACATCTCGTCTCTCACCCAGTCCCCCTATCTATACCCCGCCCCCCGCCCCCCCCCTGCGAGCGCATACGCCCATTATTCACCACCCCCCACCACCACCAACTCGACTACCAAACGCTGAACGTCCCACACCACCATCCCTCCCCCACAAACAATTTCACCATCCCCACACTCTCCCGACCACCCCCCAACCAATCGATCCCCCACGTCAGCACTCCACAACCATCTTCTACCCCGTTAACATCTTTAACAGTTGCATGTCATCACCTATTCTTTTATTATAATATTCATTTATTGAAATTGACGAATACATTATTACAGTTGAGGATTCTCGCACACCTCTGGATTGAATACTGACCTGCTCCACTGGATACTCTCGTTGAAACCTCACGATTCCCAGGAGGAAAATGAGGTTCAGGCAAAAGCTCTCAGCTTTCTTACAGACAAGGACCTGATCACACGTCCCCTAGGTGGGGAGGCATATCCCTATCATTTCCTCGTCTAAATTC